TATGTATATAAAGAAGAAGAATTCTAAACATGTTAAACAGATTAATTCCTTAAAACACAAACATGTTTATAGCCTGTTTTATCCCATGTCTCAAGAATCAGTGTCAAGTAGCTCATAAATAAGAACGATCTTTAAATGACAGACACATGTATAGAGTCGCAAGTCTTACAGCTAGTCTGTGAGGACGACTTGTCCCGCCAAGCATCATTTAGCTGCCGATATTCCTGCTGGGCCAGGTGAAGTCGCTGTTCTTTGACCTGGTAGATCTCCTTTTGGGCGCTCAACGCTTCCTGAACCACATTCAGATAATCCCGTAACATGAGCTCCTGCTCCCGCTGCCACTGGGCCCGCGGATCCTCCAACTGGGTGCTCTCTGTGGAAAGGAGAGATAAAAAATATCTTGAAATTAATGGAATACATACACTACCAGTAAAAAGTTTGGAATCATTATGATTTTTTTAATGTTTCAAATTGTTTAAATGTAATTCAAATTATAAATACACTAATGTTCAAAAGTTTGTGATGTTTTTAAAAGAAGTCACTCATGCTCACCAAGTCGGCATTTATTTGATTAAAAATATAACAACAGTAATGCAATGAAAGCAATGTTTTCAGTTTTGTTTTATTTTATATTTTAGTGTAATTTATTCCTGTGATGGAAAAGCTGAAATTTCTGCATCATTGCTCCAGCTTTCAGTGTCACATGATCCTTCAGAAATCATTCTAATATAGGGTACTGATTTGGTGCTCAAGAAACATTTCTTATTATTATTGTTTTCGCTGCTAAGATTTCTATTTCAAATAAATGCTGTTCTTTTTAACTTTCTTTTTCTCAAAGAATCCTGATAATGTTTACAGTTTCCAAAAAAATAAAAAATGTGTTCATCAGATGCATTATTGTTAACTAAAAACTAGGGCTGCACGATAAATCGCATGCGATATTTAACGCGCATCTTGTCAGAAAGCCGGTTCTGTAATCAGCGGTAAATCTCCATCACCTGCGTGCTTTCACATTGAGCAGCATTAACTACACAGAGCCGTTGTTCACTGATGAGCTGCGCAAAAAAATCGCGCAAATATGAATGTGGTTTTGCGCAGCTCGTCAGTGAACAATGGCTCTGTGTAGTTAATGCTGCTCAATGTGAATGCCCGCACGTGATGGAGATTTACCGCTGATTACAGAACCGGCTTTACTGATAAGATGCGCGTTAAATATCGCATGCGATTTATCGTGCAGCCCTACTAAAAACCATGAACAATCATTTTCAATAAATTAAGTAAAGCTGAAATAAACAAAAAACAAAAACAAAAACTTGAAGAAAATTAGAAATGCTCTCTTGGCAACTAACTGAAATAAAATAAACTTAAATTGAGGTAAATTACTAAAACTAATATAAAGCTAAATAGAAACTTAAAAAAAAAAAAAACTAAACAATAAAATCACATAAAATTAAAACTTCAACAAAAATTAAAACTGAAAAGCTAATTCACGATATTAATAAATTCTATAATTGTGTATAATTAATACTAAAACCACACTTAGATAGGTGTGTCCAAATTTTTCATTTAAAATAGTTAGAATAGCAAAAAAATTGCCCATTTGCAACTAATTATTTACAAAGAAATTTGTTCTAGTCATGCTTCATGAATGAGGGCCACTGAATGAACTCGGTTTTGTCTCCCAAAGCCTTGTTTTCATTTGTGTCAATTTAAATATGACACTTAATCTTTTTAAACCCACAGAATCACATATCAGACAGACACTCTATACTCCTGCGCATGCGTGAGGTGGGCTGAATCTTGCTCAACTTACTGGTATTGTGGTCGACATAATAGGCTCCAATGTGGGGGTCGTAGGCCTCCTCCCATCCCACGGGCAGCTCATCTCCAATACAGTCGGCAAAAGTCAGAGGCTTAGTCTGCCTGGAAAATCAAATAGGGAATCCAACTTTCAGTCAATGGACAATCACAAGAAAGACAGTGGACTGTTGGACCTCCAGACTTCATGTCTATTTTCTGTGGGATGTCACTCCGGCATATCACTGAGAGTTCGAGCGTGGCACAAGCATGTGTGGGGGGGGGGGGCATCAGAGGAATGTCGGGCTATTCACCTCCAGTGTGCTGGCCGAGCACAATAGCCGGAAACCCAAGCCGGGCATTCCACAGGTCCTGCTGACCCATCGCCTGGAGGTTTCTGAGGCAACACACTATGGCTCTCCAAGCCCAGCGCTTTGGATCACCGTAGAGCAATGGGGACACTCACTTGGCCAAAAACAGCTACGCTAAAACTTTTATTAGCAGGCGTTCGCTAATGCTAGCAAAGTAGTCTGGCTGAACTTCAGTGGAGAGTTCTGTTGGCACTCGCTAGCTAGACTAATCAATTAAAAAGAAAGAGCTTGTGGAGATTTTAGAGTAAATTTAAAGAGCCTAGGGTAGGAGGTTTATCACTAACCTGATAAAAGGATGCTAATCAAGATGTTAACCAAAGGCATCAGGCAACAATATTTGAACAAAAAAAAAAAAAATCAATAAATAAGCTTCAAGTTGACATTTATTATATAAAAATATTTATTATGTTTGCCCCAAATTACCTACTATACTCCTGACTCAGGCACCTACTGATAAGATAATTTCCCAATTACTGATTAAGGAAAACTCTATTACTTCAAATGCAATTTCAAAATGTTTTAATCCTAATACATAAAAAAATAAATTACATTGTACAATTATGATGCATAGTTAGTATAAAATAGTTATTGCACTGTAAAATCCCTGAAAAATGGAAATTGTGCAGTTTAAAATTATAAATTTTTCAGGTTTCTTTGATTAACAAAAAGTTTAATCAAACAGCATTTATTTTAAATAGACATTGTTGTAACATTATAATGTCTTTACTGTCACTTTTGATCAATTTAAAGCACCAAACGTTGTATAGTACAGTAATGAGAACAACTTGCAATATTTCTTTCTTGACAGTATTTGAGAGATTCATCTGTTTATCAATGAAAACCTAGAGATTACAGCCTGACCAATTCACCTTGAACCAACCAAGCGTGGTTTAATGGTTTGTCAGAGATGCTGCTTTTGTACCATTTGCACAATATTATTTTACAAAAATATATATATATTTCTTCTTAACCTTTTTTATGAGTTTTCAACCACCACAAAAGATTTATGTTTGGGTTTAGGCATTGTTTTTGTGCAGCGCAGGAAAGTCATATTTCCCACTTTCAAATACCTGAACTTTCAGACTTGAAGAGGAGTATTTTCTGATGCTGTTACGTCCAGCAGCAGGGTTACGCAATGAATTCAGCTCTGTGCTTCTCAGATTATCAGGAACATTCCACATTAAATCTGATTTGTGCAGCATATTTAAAGGATTAAACAATTTTTCACAAAAAATAAGTCACATTAAGCCAAGCGTAATGTATAAATTTATTACATAAGAAATAAAATATCAAACCAAGTGGCATCTGCAAACAAATGGTTATTTTCTCAGAACTAACTTTACTTTTCTGAGCCATTTTTGCAATGACTTTTAACCGGCTGGTAAAAGTATAAGAGATACTTTTATCTTAATTTTGTATATTATATATATATGGAACGCCTTGGAGTTCTATATCTTCAGTTCCAAGGCTATGGAAGCAAAATATTTTTGAAATGTAATATGCAAAATGACAATGCAATATGTAAAAAGGCTGATGCATTTCTGTATTTAAATGTACATTTTCCAATACATATGTGCAACATTTAGTGCAAAATGAAAATGAAAATTCAATTATATCATTTACATTTGCCATTTACTACACTAGTTTTAATATGTAAACTAAAAACATATTTTAACGCTTTATAAGTTGCAAAATTAAAATGAAATTGTATCACCCAAATTGATTAGATATGTTTAACATGTCCAAGCAAAAAATTTAGCAAAATTATCATTTAAATGCCGTTTTTCCTAAATGCATTTAGACTTATGCCGAGTTCACACTGCACGATTTTAGCACGATTTTTCACTCGCCGACAGGTTTTGCAAAATTGCAGACAAATGCCCGAAATCGGAGGCAAATCAGTGCTCGTTCACGCGAGTGACAATCACGCAGTGTGAATTATCAAAGACGCGATCTGAGGGAATCGCCGATGCGTCGCCGACGCCCGTGAAATATTTGGCATGCTAAATATCTGGAGCTGTCGGCGATTCACAATCACACTGTGTGAAATGAGTTCTGACTGAAAAACACATCGGCGATGACCTACAGCCAATGAGAGACCAAGATACAGGGCAGCGGGAAGTTCGGGGAGGAGTTATATGAAACGTAGTTTGCGGACCAGTGTTGCCAAATCCGTGATTGCCGCCGGTTGTTTTTTATGTCAGCAGGTTGAAGCGACCCCAATAACGTGATATTTAGGCCCTGGAATGTGAATTGTACCAGGAGAACCCCGCCAAAAAAAAATGTATTTTACCCCCCGAACGCGATTTTTACTGGGGGACCTACGATGGCCGAGAAGTGCAAAACAAATCACAATTCTGAAAACAACATAATTTACAAATGCAAATGCAAATCTAAAAAACAAAATAACAATTCAGAAAACACAACAACAATTCAGAAAACATTATAACAAGTCAGAAAACACAATGACAAATTCGAAAACAATATAACAAGTCAGAAAACACAACGACAAATCAGACAAACCGGAAGAAGTAGGTATAGTTTGAGACAGCGCCATTGGTTTGGGATTACTCACCGCTGACTGGATGAGACATCTGTCAATCAACGTATACAGGGAAGAACCAGCCGAAGAACAGCAGAGTCCTGGTAGAAAGTTCGGAGATGGTATTAAAGTAGCTCAGTTTAAATGTATTGTATGAATTGCCCTACCCCAGATAGTCGTTCAGTGTGAAACCAACAGTGATGCAACGTCTTTGAAAATCGTGCAGTGTGAACTCTGCATTACGGGTAGGACACTTGGGATTGCATTTTCATTGTGATACTGCGTGATAATTGTAGCAAAATGCAGTGTGAATTTCAAAATGCATTCTGAGCCAAAGGTGCAGCAAAAGGGTAGCAAAATGGTGATTTAAATGTCTTTTATTTTTCTTAAATGCATTGACACTTACACTTAAGAGGTTTGAATTGTATTTTCATTAAATACCCCGCAATCAGTGTAGATTAGTCAATGTTGATTTGAAAATGCATTCCAAGCCGATCACGCCCCCAACCTGTCAATCATTACATCAGGTCAATATTAGGTCAATATTCACCATTAACCAAACGCTTTTCACCTTCCCTTAACATCTCTCACTGTTTACATTCCGATTGATGCACACAAGCAAACAGACACTGCAATTCTACACTTTTACCTATTTGCTACCATACTTTATTCTTCTCCTATAATGGATCGCGTGTCCCCGAGCACCTAAGTGTTCCAGGTGGGTCGCACATCTCACTCTGCACGCCGAGTGATGCACGGAAGTAAATAGTGCAATTCTAACGTTACACTTATTTACCACCTTATATTATTTTGTTCCTCTTTTAATCCGTAATATAGCGCGTGTTCCATGGTACCTAAACGTCACGCGCCTGCCACAAGAGCTCTCACTCTTTACAGCCACCGGACACCACGACTGATGCCCGTGATTTTTAATATTAAGTTATCTCACTTTGGCTGTGGCATGTTCTGTGAATGCATTTTGAAATTCACACTGCATTTTGCTACAATTATCACATGGTATCACGATGAAAATGCAATCCCAAGTAGGGCTGAGCAAAAAAATACATTTTTCGATTAATTGTTTTTTTAAATGACGTCGATTCGATATCGATTCTCAAAAGCCGCGAATCGATCTTTTCCTGTATTTATTTCAGCACACATTTAAAACAAGATCTGATTAACGTGAATCTTATCATTAGTCTTCTCCACTAGATGTCACCCTTATTTACGGATGTTACAACAGAAAGCCTGTCATTCATTCAGCGCTTATCATGGCCATACGCGTGATTCGCAATGCTCAGGTGAAATGCTATTGTAATACTATAAATCTGCGGAAGCATTTGATATCATGCACAAGGCGCCATGATTTCCGCAATGAATGAAGGGCGGATGGCGCGGCGCACTGTTTTGTTTACTACACACATACTAAAGCGCGGATGACACTCGCCATGTTTTCAGCTTCTGCCGTCTCAATATATGATGATATGAACACGAATGTCATCTCCAGCTGCTCTGAGAGTCACTTCATTAGCATTT